CGCCCCATCCACGCGAAGAAGCCGCCCCATGCCCATACACCACGCCCCCAAGGCCGACGCCACGCCCCAGACCCACAGGAAGGGCTTGTTCCCTGTCCAGGCGCCCCGCCTTCTGGCCGGAGGACACGCCCCGAAGCCACGCCCCTATCCACCTGACAGACAGGTCGCGGGCCCCGAGGGCCCGTCCCACGCCGTCGCCGCCCCGCGGCCATTTTCCCCGACTCCAGGGGCGGTTGGTCGGCCGGGTTGTCCCGGTGGCTCCGCCGCGCGCGGAGCTCGCCTTCTCGAGGACACCTCCGCCCGCCCCGCGTCCCGGGACGCTGGTCCCCTCTTCCGCCTGCGGCCAGGCTGCAGCGCCGCGTCCCCTGGGCCCGGGTCGGTCCCGCCCCGGACCTCGGCGGGTCCGGGACCAGCGCCCGCGGGCCTCCCGGCCGCGGGTCGGCCCTGCCCGCAGCTCGGCCGCTGGGTGCTGGCCTCCCAGGGCCAGCTTTGATGCTCTCCCTGAGAAACTCAGTGCCACAGGAACAGGCTGGGAAGGCGGCTCGTGGGGGAGCGCTCCTGAGGCCCTGGGTTCGATTCCCTGGCACCACATTCACAGAAAAAGCCGGCCGTGGTGCCGTGGCTCAAGCAGTAGAGCGCCAGCCTTGAGCAAAAGCTCAGGGACAGCGCCCAGGCCCTGGGGTCAAGCCCCAGGGCTGGCACCAAAGTGTTTTGGGTCTGGGAATGTGGCTCGTGGTAGCGGCTTGCCTGGGGTGCGTTATCTGTGTATGTGGCACGGGAAGGAGGCTTGTACCTAGAAGTACCCTCTCCTTTAAAATGGTAAAAACCTGGCCACTCTGTAAATCCCTGAGAAAAGTGCCGACGCTCACCCTCCCGCGCCCAGAGACAGCTCCCTGTTCTAGAATACTAAGCAACACCCTCTTGGCTACCCAGAACATTGGCTGCGCGTTAGGAGCTGGTAGCCTAGCTGACCAGTCCACCCCCACCCCATTGGAAAACATGAAGGCCGCTGATAAGAGGCACCCTTTTGACCACTCCCATTTCGAGGGGGCAGAACACGTTTCTCCTCCACATCCCCCAGCTTGATCCTGTGAGACTAAAATAAAGCCGTGCCACAATGCCACAACGCATTTTATGAGACTCCTTTGGCCAGACACCTTGACATCTGTGTGTGGATCTCAGGGATCTGTGATTTTGTGAGGAAACTAGGAAGCAGAAGGAGGGGGCAATGGGAGAGGGGGGGATAGGAAGACCAGGGTTGGGGCGAGTTCCTGAGGCCATGAATCACAGAAACTGCACCTGTAGCTGGCTTCTCTGGAGAGGTCAGCTCCCCAACCCAGGGTGAGCCTGAGGAAAAATAGGCTCAGCCAAGGTTAGGTTAAGCAGTGTTTTTGTAACGTCCGTCAGGGGGCCCCTTGCGATAGGGCATTTTCCAGAACCCTGAATGAAGTTTTTATGTTTGTTTTTAACCTTTGCTGTGGGCTCAGATAAGATTTAGCTTTGTCACCTGCAGTGTGAAGGATGATACAGGAGCTGTAGGCCTTAGGTCCAGCTCCGAAGTCCTCTCCCCAAGATGCCTAGTGAAGAGCAGTGGTGAAGGCAGAGAAATGAGATTCCTTCTATAGCCCAGCACAGCCTTGGAAGAGGCAGGGGAAGCACTGCGGCCCCGCTTCTGGATGCAGACCAGAGCTTTAGGCCTCAGCAGAAGAACGGGCCAGGGGGTGAGGCAGGTGCATGATCATTGGACAGTCCTTGTTAGGTTTTTAAAAAGAGGTAGCTGAGTAAGGACATCACCACACACGTGGTATTCAGGTAAGGGGTAGGTTTATTCATCGTTCTGGCTGGCACCAGGCCATC